GCCGATAAGGGGTAGAATTCCGATGCGTGATCTTAAGTTGTTCGCATATCTCCCTAATCAAATGACTATTCAAGTTTGCAGCATTGTCCGTAATGATAGTTGTAGGGATACCAAAACGACAAATGATGTTGGAGTGCACGAAGTCTACTACCGCTTTCTTAGTGATAGCTTTGAGAGTGACTGCTTCAACCCATTTTGTGAAGTAGTCGATGGCAACCAATATAAATTTGTGCCCATTTGAAGCTTTTGGCTCGATTGGCGTAATGACATCCATACCCCAAGCAACGAACGGCCATGACGCCAACATAGGATGCAGTTCTGAGGGTGGTGCATGAATCAGGTCACCGTGTACCTGACACTGATGATATTTTCGGACGAAGCTGAAGCATTCCTTTTCCATGGTGATCCAGTAATACCCTGCTCGAAGGATCTTATTTGCAAGGATGTATCCATTCATATGAGGTCCGCATACTCCTGCGTGTACTTCATTCATGATTCTTCCGGCCTCTTGGGCATCCACACATCTCAAAAAGTTCAAATCTGGAGTCCTTTTGTACAAATCTTCTCCGCTCAAGAAGAAGCCACCGGCAAGCCTTTTAATGGTTCTCTTTTGGTCTCCACTGGCTTGCTCGGGATATTCCTTTGTTTTCAAAAACCTCTTGATATCATAGTACCAAGGTTGAACATTTGGCTCTACCTCAACCGTATTACAATAACCATGCTTTTCTCGGATTCAGATTTCTAATGGGTCAATGTTTACATTGCCTGGATACGGCAACATCGAGGCCAAGGTAGCGAGTGCATCGGCTAACTCATTGTGAAACCGAGGAACGTACCAGAACTCAACAGATTTTAACTGCTTGCTAAGATCTTCCATATGCTACTTGTATGGAATAAGCTTGACATCCCGAGATTCCCATTCTCCCTGAGCTAATCGGATAATCAGATCCGAATCTCCCATGATTATCAATTCTTCCACATCTTGGTCAATTGCCATATTCATACCCATAATGTAGGCTTCATACTCGGCAATGTTGTTTGTGCAGAAAAACCGAAGTCGGGCTGTGGCTGGATAATGCTGCCCAATGGGTGAAATCAAGATTGCCCCAATCCTGACACCTTTTGCGTTCACCGCTCCATCGAAGAACATTTTCCAAGCATTGGTGTCTTCTGAAATTACCTAAACTGAATTTACTTCCTCGTCCGGGAAGTAGGTACTCAAAGGCTGTTATTCATCATCAACAGGGTTTTCAGCTAGGTGATCCGCTAAAGCTTGAGCTTTCATTGCCGTGCGGGTGACATAGACTATATCAAACTCGATGAGCGGGATTTGCCATTTTGCCAACCTCCCTGTGGGCATCGGCTTATGGAATATGCACTTTAAAGGATCCAACCTGGTGATGAGGTAGGTGGTGTAGGCCAGCAAGTAATGCCTAAGCTTCTGAGCGACCCAAGTTAAAGCGCAGCAAGTTCTTTCCAACATAGTGTATTTGGCTTCGTAACTAGTGAACTTCTTGCTCAGATAGTATATTGCCTGTTCTTTCTTCCCGGCGATATCATGTTGCCCGAGGACACATCCGAAGGAATTCTCCAAAACTGTAAAATACAAAAACAAAGGCCTCCCTGGTTCGGGTGGGACCAAGACTGGCGGATTCGACAGATATTCTTTCATTTTGTCGAAGGCTTCTTGACACTCATCTGTCTATTTAATTGCTGCGGCTTTCTTCAATAGCTTGAATATGGGCTCACATGTGGAAGTCAACTGGGCAATGAACCGGCTGATGTAATTCAACCTTCCTAGCAAACTCATAACTTCTTTCTTGATTCTCGGAGGGGGCAAATCCAGAATATGCTTTATCTTCGTTGGATCTAGCTCGATGACCCTCCGACTGTCTACAAATCCCAAGAGTTTCCCAGACAGAACTCCAAATGCACATTTAGCTGGATTTAGCTTCAAATCATACCTACGCAGACGCTCAAAGAACATTCTCAGATCCCGAATATGGTCATCCTGCATTCTGGACGTAATGATCACATCGTCCACATACACCTCAATTTCCTGGTGCATCATGTCATGAAAGATGGCGGTCATAGCTCTCATGTACGTTGCCCTGGCGTTCTTCAGACCAAAAGGCATGACCCTATAACAATAGGTGCCCTAGGGTGTGGTGAAGGCTGTCTTTTCTGCATATTCTTCATCCATCAAGACCTGATGATATCCAGCATAACAATCTACGAAAGACTATTTCTCATGTTTGGCACAGTTGTCAACAAGAATGTGGATGTTTGGCAAAGGAAAGTTATCCTGGGACTTGCTTTGTTCAGATCCCGATAGTCAACACACACTCGGGTTTTTCCGTCTTTCCTTGGCACTGGGACCACATTTGCCAACCATGTGGTGTATCAGACCACTCGGATCACACCCGCTTCTAACTGTTTGGTGACCTCTTCTTTGATCTTGTCACTAATGTCAGTTTTGAACTTTCTCTGTTCTTGCTGGACAAGGGGGCAATCGTGGTAAGTTGGCAATTTGTGCACCACTAGATCAACACTTAATCATGGCATATCATCGTAGGACCAAGCAAACACATCTTTGAATTCGAACAAAAGTTGGATCAGTGCATCCCTAGTTCATTCATCTATGTGAATGCTTATCATGGTTTCTTGGGCCTCTTCCGAACTACCAAAATTAATTGGATCAGTTTCATTTAGATTTCGCTTAGGCTTATTCTCAAATAGTTCCAATTCTCGGTTTATTTCCCTAAAAGCCTCATCTTCATCGTATTCGGGTTCTTGATTCATTATTTCACAATTAGACAGCGTGTTTGGATCTGGGCATGAAGTCCGCAAGCATGTCATGTTATTTAAGTCCGTATCATTAGAACTGAAAGTAGAAATAAGAAAAAGCATCAAAAAATCAGAAAGAATAAAGAAAGAGATTCATGGACGATGAAACATTGATTTCATTTCATTGAATTTGAAGATAGTAGGGTTTACATTGGAATTTTAAAGACAATAAACTAAAAGAAACATCTGAGTTACACCCTGGAATAACTCGAGATATAGAAAAGGTGGTAAGACTGGACTACTGGGATTCCCGCCTGACTGGGAACGGAGTAGCCTTCCAGTTTTGCAACTTGGCATTGGGCCCCATATATTGCACCTCAGCGGTGCTCGAGCCTTCTCCCGGCTGGACCATGTGAGTTTTATACAACATCTGCCTCGTGGCTCCACATATTTCATCAATTTCCTCGGCCGTGAAGGCGTCATCTTCCTTTTCTATGTACTTGGGCTTGACGAATGTTTTGAAAAGATGTGGGATTGGCTTAGGCAAGACCCAACCATTGCTCTTTCGCTCATTTGCCCATGTCACATCAGCTGGCATGGCGTGAGAACCCACACCGAAGAACTTCTCGCTAGTAGCCAGAGTGATAGGTTCTGTGATACCTTCTGATGATGTCCCGAGCCCCTTCCCGGGCTTATAACCATGCCTGATCATTTCATTAGCGACCATAATTGACGCATTTGAGAGAAAGGTTTGAGGACACGGGATTCCTTCTTCACATTGATCCGCGACCACAATCTCGAAAGCTTCATAGACTATATGCTCGCTACCTTCCCTAGCTTCAAGACATGGGACTGACGGGTCCCTATAAATTTATTGCTTGTCCTCTCCATGGACCACGATCTCCTGATCTTCGTATTCAAATTTCACCATTTGGTGGAGAGTAGAAGGTACGACCCCTACTTCATGAATCCAAGGCCTTCCCAAAATGAAATTATAATAAGTGTCCATGTCTAGGACCTGAAATGATACGTCGAAATCCACAGGACCGATAGTCAAAATCAAATCGATCTCGCCTATTGTGTCTCTCTTGATACCATCAAAGGCACGCACACAAACATTGTTAGGCCTGATTCTCTCAGTCCTAATCTCCATTCTTTGTAAAGTTAAGAAAGTGCAGATATCAACTCAAGATCCACCATCCAGCATGACTTTTTTCACATAGTACCCCTCACACTTAACTATCAAATGAAGGGCTTTGTTGTGGGCAGCCCCTTCCGGGGGAAAATCATTCTTGCTAAATGAAATCTGGTTGACTTCAAAGAATCTTTCCGCCAGTTGTTCAACAGTGGTTTCAATCGGAACATAAGCTTTGTTGAGGGTCTTTATCAACACTTTCTGATGCTCGATTGAGCTTACCAGTAGGGACAGGAGTGAGACCTGAGAGGGAGACTTCCGGAGTTGGTCTATTACCTCGTAATCCGCTATTTTCATTTTCCGGAAGAATTCCTCGGTCTCTTCAGCACTGACGGGCTTCTTAAGCGGGAAACGCTTCCTTTTGTCTTTGTTTAAATCCTCCAAGTTTATGTATTTCTCGGCTGGTTTAGTTTTATTTGCTTCCCCTATGACCTCTTTTCCTTTGTATGTTACTACCGCTTTATTGTAATTCCATGGGACGGCGGTGGGGTCTGTCATGGGCTTTTGTGGTGCGTGGCCGATAACCACGGCTTATTCAGCCTTGGTGAAATTACCGGCCCCCGTGCCACTTAGGTCCCTTGTTCAGCTCGAACCTTTTTGGAGGACTCAATGTCATTTGTTCTTTCCTGTGACCTCGGTGAACATAAAGAATGGCATCTTTAGGGGGTACTTCCCCTGTTTTGGTTTCCACAGTGTGTTTTCTTCACTTTGAGGGGTGGATTTAATCTTCTTCTCCCCCTTATCTTTCTTTGGAGTAGCCCTTGGCTTCTTTTCAACATCAGCGATGGCAATGATGGCTTTCAAGGCGGGATCAAACTCCTTATCTTCGCATCATCCTAATAACTGGCCCGTTATTGTGAGCCGGTAATGGGTTATTGGTCACATTAGGAATCTCTTCATCTTTCAGCACTATCCTTTTTTGCTCTATTACATTTTCAATCGCCCTTTTGAGAGTCTAAGAGTCTTCAGTGTCATTCCCTTCCGCTCTTGAGTGGTAAGCACATCGAGCACCATACCGTTAGGAGGGCGATTCTGGGTTTTGCCTAGTTTGAGGTACGGGTTGCAATAAACCCATTTGGACCAATTTAGGGAAAAGGCTAGAGTATGACTCACCAATAGGCGTGAAATTATTTCTTCTAGGTGGCTCCCGGGCACGGGCATTGTATGGGAAATTGTTTTGTGGGGGTCGGGGATTATATGGAGCTTGGTGAGGAGGGTTATTTTTAGGAAGTGGAGCTCGGTTTTGGTTAAACTGTTGTTGTGGATGAGCGTATGGCTGGGCGTTCATCACCGCGTAAGGTTGAGGAGCCATAGTATAAGCCACATCCTGGTGAGGAAAATAACGGTGTGGGATGCTTGGAGGGAAGTAATTTCTGGGTGGACGGGGATTTCTTAGACTTGAAGCCGCCATCGCCACTTCTTCTTTCTTCTTTCTGTTTGCTACACCTCCTGACCCGCTTTGGATTGCTTGGGACGTAGCTCTTATGGCAGATTGGCTCAATATGCAACCTGTTTTCAGACCATTCTCGACCATCTCACCAATCTTTATAGCCTCAGCAAACGGCTTTCCCATTCCAGACATCATATTCTGAAAGTAGTCAGCCTCTTAGGGTCGTAGAAAAACACTAACCATCGCGGTTTCATCCATCGGGGGCTTGACCCTAGCCGCTTGTTCGCGCCATTTAACAGCATATTCTCGGAAACTTTCTGATGACTTCTTTTTGAGATTTGACAAGGAATTCCTGTCGTGAGCTATGTCTATGTTGTACTGAAACTGCTTGACAAAATCTCGAGCCAAATCATCCCATATGTGCCTGCAAGACATGTCTTGATCCATGTACCATTCGGATGCAATGCCCATTAGACTCTCTCCGAAATAAGCCACTAGAAGCTCTTCTTTTCCACCTGCCCCTCTCAGTTGATTGCAATACCTCTTGAGGTGGGAAAGCTAAAAAGGAAGTCGGAGCTTGGTCCACATCGAGAAAAAACATTCATCATAAACGGATCTCCGATGGTCAAGCCTACCAAGGACACGGAACCCAGCACCACCTATGAGGTCCCCGTGCCCGTCATACTTTTCGATCTTGGGGGTCTTAAAACCAATGGGTAGGTGAACATGTGAGAACATACACAAATCAGCGTAGGATACGCTCTTTTGGCCACTTAAACCTTGTATATTTTTTAGGCTCTGTTCCATGATCCTCATCTTCCGAGTGATTTCTTCTTGCTCGGGGTTCTTTGTAGTTTTCTCCTGTCCCGCGGTGAACTCATACCGGGGTTGTTGAGGGTAAGAATTGGTGGTGAGATGGGCCGTGTCTGGTGGAAAGGATGGTACTTGCAAAGTAAAAGACGATGGATCAAAGCTTGGCCTGGGCAAAGTGGGTTCTGTCGTGGCTGAGGAAGGTGGTGCAGTGAATATGTTGGAAGCTACACCTGAAATTAATGCCTGGGGGCGAACCTCAGAAGGCGTTCCGATAAATTGCGCTGAGATGGTAGGATATCCGAGCAGAGTGTTTGGGTAATATATTGGGACGTTGGAAGTTCCAGTTGCCCTGGGAAGTAGCTCAGGGAAACCAGGTATTGCACTCGGAAGCTCTCTACCGTTGGACCAGGCATCCCACATTTCCAATATGCGGAGTCGTAGTACCCTATTTTCCTCAACAGCCGATGACTCTGATGTTGGGATGGCCGATATCAGGCTATCCTCTGGGATGGGAATTGTTGGTAGATGACTCTCTGACGACATTTCAACACTTCCCTTGGATCTTGTAAAGTAAGGGTGTGAAGCCAGGTTACCACAAAACTAACCACCTTAGATCAAAACCTACTTAATAGCGAACACAACAATCCGGTTAGTTTGAGACAATTAGCACACAGGGAATCGCACATTGGGGGTGTAATGCACCAATACAGTTAAATGTGTTTTTACATGTTCTGCAACGGTTGCGTGTTTCATCTCGGCTTTTGTTTATCTCCCCCAGTCTTTCTTTTCTTTGGCGCTTTTCACCTTTTGCTCTCTTTTGCACGTTATCATTGTTTCCTCTCGTATTCTTGTTTTCTCTTTTTTCTCGTTTTCTCTCTTTTTCTTGTTCTCCTCTCTTTTTTTTCTTGTTTTCTCTCTTTGAATTATTTAAATCTATGACCGGATCCGATTGGGATTGCCTACGTATCACGATGCCGCGTGAATCAGATCATCACGTAGTTCAAGGAATAAATGCGGAAATAAAAGAAAGAAACAATTTTGGGGTTTTTTCCAAATTTTCATTAAAAATAAAAACTTCTAATTTTCCTTGTTACAAAGACTCTATCATGCCTCTCTAGGAATTAGAAAAAAACTAAAAACAGACTCTAGAACTAGAAACTAAAATAAAGACCCGAAATGAAAATCAAGAGTAGATAAGTGCTTCCAGAACTGATCCAGGGGCCCGCGGGACATCAGTTGGTCTCGCCACGGGCCTATGTGCAAGATCTCCTTGGAGACGATCCAGGTCATTTTATTATTTGTCTAACAAAGGTCATCACTACAGAGAAAAAGGTGGTTTGATTCATGTCTTCACATTCATGGCATTTCATGACGATGTAGTCAGCAATTACTCTAACCCTTTCCCCGATGATACCCTTTTCTTGGAGCAAACGCCCGATTTGTTGAGACCTAGCTTCTACCACTTGGGTGTCATGACCATTTTGTCCCTACAGCTGCTGCATATCTTCCTCTAGCTTAGACATTAATGCATAACAATGTTCCCTTTATGCCTTAAAGCTCTTAGCTTCTTTGGCCATCTCATTCTCGAGGGTCGTTAGCTTTTTCTTCAAGTTTGTGACTGTTCCCTCATATTTCCTTTTCAATTGCCGTACAAACTCTGCCCGTCCCTCTGCTTTCTTTTCCAACTATGCTCGAGCTCTTGCCAGAATACCCTCGGATTTTTCCAAATCATCCTTGTACTCAGATATTTTCCTCCTAAGACCATTTATGAGTCTTTCATCTGTTCGGCTCCTTTCCTGATTCTCAGCAGCTATCTTCATTTTTTGGATCTGGGCTGCAAGGGCTTTGTTTTCTTGAGCCAACTCTTCTTTTCCCCTTCATCAGCAGCAGCCTGTAAACTGTTGTCAAATTTAAGATCTCGGATCTGCCCCTCCAATTTGCTTATTGTGGCTTTGTAGCTTGTCTCTTTTGCCAACCAATCTCATTGCTCCTGTGCCCCATCAGTGAATTGTTGGACATGGGGTCTTTTAGTAGGCCGTTCGGGATCTTGATGGACTTGAAACCTTTTGCCATACCAGGTCGTGTAACTAGGCTCTAATTCGCCTTTGGACAGATCCCGTACCCGAGTCTTTGGCTCTAGAAATCTACACCGATTCCAAATTTTGCGAACCTTTCCTTCCGGGAACACAGCTTTTGGACCTAGTTTGATGACTTGTCGGCTCAGATCTTCATCATGTGGGATAGTTTGGTACCTGCCTAGCTGGCGCAGAACCCTGTGTGGAGCATATGGTTGGATGCTCCGGAGACCCATTAATAGAAGAAAGCACACCTCGGACGACATGTAAATGACGTCAGTGATCGGGAGCCAACCGAATGTCCACTCAATTTTGCTTGAAGTTAAGGAACTCAAATGTGCGAACCATGCCTCCGTACCTTCCGGAAACTCATGACCCATCACCCGGTTTTCATATTCTTCAATGCAATTAAGACCAGTCATACCATAGTTCATGCACCCCAGACGATGGCAAAGGTGTTCTTCCATCCAAAGTTATAGAAGCATGTTGCAGCCCTCAAAAAATTTTCCCCCTTCTTGGCAAACAGTTAGAGCTCGATAAATCTCTGCTACGATCATTGGAAAAAGGGTTCCATTAGCCTTTTTAGTCATGACGTTGGCCATTCCCACGAGGCCCAACTCTATATTTCCATCCTTTCTTGGGCAGATTAATATACCCAGGAATGCCACTATAAAAGCCAGTCCCCGACGTGCTTCCCATTTATCTTTGTTCCCTGAATGAGTTAGACCAGTATCTGGAGCCTTAAAATCGTGGGGATCCCCATATCACCGGTACAAGAAGTAGAATGTGCAAAATCCCTCGGATAAATTTCCATCTTTAACTTCCCGACTGATACTCAGGAGGTCCAGAAACTTATGAGGAGTCACCGCTCTTGGAGCCACTGGGTACCTACTTCTAAGATTCCCACTAAGACCGGCATAGCCCACTATTTCCTCAAGCGTAGGGGTTAGCTCAAAATCAGAAAAATGGAACACATTATGCGTCGGGTCCCAAAAAGGTATTAAAGCCTCAATTATATCCAACCTCGATTTAATTTTTAGAACACCAACAAGACAGCCCAAGCTTTTATCGCAGTATCTATGCTGACTTTTCCTAAGTCATTCCACCATATATGGAGTTCTAACGGGATTTCCTCGAGGACTGTGAAAGGTTCATTTTCAATAGTGCTCATCTTGCACATATATTTAGAGTGATCGGTTAAAAGACCATGATTTATTTTGACTCAAGAGAAAATTATCAGTTTTTCAAAATTGCATTTCAAAACAAAGATGCCTTTGCAAATACGGCCCTTCAGCACCTCAGGAAAGAAGACTTTAGGGCTGTGTTTGCTAATCGGCCAAAATTTGAAAAAGGACCATAGGTGGCTATTCTTGCAAAAGCAGCCTTCCGGCGCCCTTTTGGGGATATTTTGGCTATTTAGACAAGAACGACATTACCTAATTTATTTATGACAAAACAACAACTTTTCATCATTTTTTTTATTTTTGGAAAAATGGAGTTGGACCCGGTGAGGGTTGCCTACGTATCCCACATCCGATGAGAATCAAACTTGCGTAGTTCGGGCAGTTTTGACGCAATAGAAAACAATACCAAATATTTCTTTTTTTTTAAACAATTTTCCTTTTCTCTTTTCTTTTCAAAATTTCGGCAGAGTTTCGGTACTTTTTTGACACCAGATTTTCTGAGGGTGGGTAATTATCTCTCTCACACCTCAATTTGATTTTTTACAATTTTTCTCCATTATTCTAGAAGCCGGTCAACATGCAATCCGAAGCAAATAAATGTTCAAGTAGCAAGTAGAATGCATCAGGATGGTCTTTTTGATTTCAGGTACACCTGTCCTAGACGGACCCAACCCCTATGTTGAGTCCCCAAAGTCAAATGCACGTGATGAAAACAAGTGTTCCTACTAGGGATCCGGCATGAGGCTATGCTATACTAGGTTTAAAAACCTGGGTGTATTGTTCTAGACCTGGCTTACCCGAGCAGACAGCTCGAGCGAGGGGGGGCAGCGTATTGGGAATACAGAAGCTTCGCCGGCTTTGCAACTTGTCCGAACCTCATTCTAAAATTGGGATATGACTCTAACAGAAAATAAGTTACACAAAGTGCACACTTCCCAGATGATTTAGAAGACTCAGAGAGAGGAGGGTTTCGTAGCAATTTATACAATGTTCAAACAATATCAAAACGGTAAAAAGCGGCAATTAGCACATTAGGCTCAAACATGTAAAAATCAAATAATAAATAATGCCAAATATAACACTTATTCTAAGCTCGAATTCTTGAACCCTAAAACAAAAGTTCTGGGTTCTTATCCCCAGCAGAGTCGCCAGAGCTGTCACGCCTCCTTTTTTACCACCCCGAGAGGGGGTACAAGGGAGTTTTTCCAATTAAAGTGACATAAATCGAGATGGGATTATTTATTTAATTTCAGAGTCGCCACTTGGAATAGTTTTATGGTGTCCCAAGTCACCGGTTTATTTTAAATCCGAAATCGAGGAAATTCGACTTTATTTAAAAGTCTGCGAAACCAGAAATTCTAAGCAAGGAATTTTGTTAACCCGGGAGATGGTGTTAGGCATTCCCGGATTCCGTGGTTCTAGCACGGTCGCTTAAACTATTAATATTGGCCTATTAACTGATTTACTACATGTTTTAAAACTATTGGGCATTTTTTAGCTTTTATAACCCCTTTTAATTATTTTAGGAAAATTCAATACTATTTAAAACACGTCTTAAACCACGCTACATGAAAAGCACCCGTGGTTCGCGATACGTTTTATTTAACCTTGTTGAAGGTTGAAGTTGGATCACATGAAATGTGCACCCGAATTTTAGTAATTATAAATCACAACTACGTCACGGGAACCATACCCGTAGCCATGATAAATTAATTAATTAAAGTGCCTAAAGCAACTACGAAGATTTAATTTTTAATAGCGACATTTGTGAGGGCCATGGATGATTTAATTTATTTATGGCACACCTCAAATATTTTTCTATAAGGGTTAGCTCTTGATCTAATTTTACGAGGGCCATGAATTATAGGTTTTATTTGGCATGGCACACCTCACTTATTGCCTTTTCTAGAGGAAAGTTACACCTACTTAAAAGGGCTAAGTCTAATTTTTTTTTAAAGGATTTCGGCTTGGGCTTCATTACTGGGTTTAATGGGAAGGTTCAGCTTCGCAGGAAAGCGGTATTTGGGCTAAGCCTTTGGCCCAAGTGAAACGGAAGAGCCCCAGCAGGCTCTTGCTATTCCGAAATTTTGTTTGATCAAGCTGGCCCATATTGGACCTGAAACAGGCGGGCCCAGTCACTATTTCTCTAGCTGGGCCTGTCCACCTTTACCCTTAACCATTCCCCACATATTTATAACAATCAAGAATAACTTAATTTTTAGACAAAAACTAAGAAATACAATATAACTCTAATTCAACAGTTGATCACACGTTCAAACAGGGA